ATTTTTTGTGAAAATTGACAAGATGACTCCATTTTTTTAATGAAATGCAAACGGCCAGAAGAGTCATGGCGATGTTGAAGAAAAAAAACACAGTTGAACAATTTACACTACCAGATGGCAAAACTTATTATAAAGTTATAGCGCTTAAGCCAGTATGGTATTTGCAGAAACTTTTGTCACCAAAAGCGTAAAGATACACAAATGGACCAATAGAAAAAAGAGGGTTTAGAAACAGACCCACAGACGTACAGGCCTCTAATTTTTGATAGTGACACCACACTGTACAACAAAGAGGAAGGAATGGTCTTTTCAAAATGGTGCTGGACCATCTGGATATAAACATGGATAAACAAATGAGCCTTGACCTCTACCTCACACCAGTTCCAAAACTAAATTTTAGGGTTGCCTGGCTGGCTCAGTAGGAAGGGCATGTAACACTGGGTCTCAGGGTTATGAGTTCGAGCCTCACATTGGGTGTAGAGATTACTTAAACAAATAAACTTAAAAAAAAAAAAAAAAAAAAAACCTAAATTCTAGGAGGACTGTAGACATATCCTGGAAAGACAAGACACTGAAACTTCCAGACAATATCTTAGGAGCATATCTTCATGCCCTTGAGGACAGGGAATGACTTCTAAAGTAGGACACAAAAAGCACAAACCATAAAGGGGACAATTGATGAATTGGATTTCATTAAGAACTTCTGCTTATCAAGACACCATTAAGAGAGTAAAAGCAAACCACACAGTGGGAGAAGAAATTTGTAGTACATGTATCCAACAAAGCACTCATATTCAGAATACATAAAGAATTCCACAAATCAATAAGAAAAAGGAAACACAATTTTTAAAGGAGGGAGAAGCAAAAGACTTGAAAAGGCACTTCATAAAACAGAATATTCCAATGCCCCTGCTAAAAAAATATTTTAGAAGGGCTCAACATGATTAATCATCAGAAAAATGCAAATTAAAACTACAGTTAGATGCCGCTGAGGTCCAGGCAATGTTCTATTTCATGACACAGGTGGTGGGCTCACAGGAAACAATTCACTGAGTTGTACCTGTAAGGATTTGTGCACTCTTCTCTGTTTATTACACTTTCTTAACAGTGTTTCCTAAAAAGAGAGACTGAGAAATATCAACCAAATTTAATCTGTAGCCCTTATTGGATATTGCTGCACACAAGCCAGCTGTTAAAAAAGAATTTGCAAGACTTGGGTCCATTAACTGCGTATTTGATGATTATTAATAATTATTTGTTTAGTTGAGATGATGGGTTTGCATCAATGTTTGCAACAAGAGTTCTCATCATTTAGAGCTACACACTGAAGTATAAATACACATACTATAAATAAAATAATACCTTGGATTTGTTTCAAAATAGTCCAAAGAGGGAGGAGTTGTAAGTAAGTAAGTAGTAAGACAAGAACGGAGGAGTTGATGGCTGGTAGAGCTAGACAGTGAGTATGTGGGGATCGCTGTACAGCTGACCCGTGAACAACATGGGGGTTGAGGGCATTGACTCCCCCCACAGTCAAGAATCCATGTATAAACTTTAACATCCCTGAAGCTTAACTGCTAATAGCCTGCAGTTCACCAGAAGCCTTACAGATAACATAAATAGTCGATGGACACGTATTTTGTATATTATATGGTCTGTGCATTGTATTCTTACAATGAAGTAAGCTGGAGAAAAGAAAATACCATTAAGAAAATCATCAAGGGGGCACCTGGGTGGCTCAGTGGGTTAAGCCTCTGCCTTCCGCTCAGGTCACGATCTCAGGGTCCTAGGATAGAGCCCCGAGTCAGGCTCCCTGTTCAGCAGAGAGCCTGCTTCCCCCCCACCGCCCCGCCTGCTTCTCTGCCTACTCGTGATCTCTCTCTCTCTTTCTCTCTCTGTCAAATAAGTAAGTATAATCTTTAAAAAAAAAAAAAGAAGAAGAAGAAGATCATCAGGAAGAGAACATACATTTACAGGACTGTGCTCAATTTATCAAAACAAATCCGCATCTAAGTGGAACTGCACAGTTCAAGGGTCAGCAGTGGTGGTCAACGGTGGTGCTCTACTTCTGTATGTGTTTAAAATCTTGTGTAATAACTCTTTCTAAAGCTATAGCAAAGCCAAGGTCTTATGCTTTGGGGCTGTGACTCCTCTCTTCCACCCCTCCTGAACCGAATCAAATATTACATAGTGACAATGGAAATCATCAACATTGTACCCCTAGGCTACCAGGACCTCGAGACCTCAAGAAGTAATCTTGACCACTCCCTCCTCATCAAGCAGAGGATCTGAAACAGGAGGACTCACACCACGTCTGCGCTGAGCCGCAGAGAAAACAGCGTGCCCCCTCTCAGAGAAGGGGTTAAATAGGCAATATTTATTAGGGCCTCGGATATGAAAGAGCAATCAATTATCCACACCCTTTGGGGGGGTATGCCAATGGAAGGTCTCTACATGGCCCAGGTGACCTCCCTGGAAAAGCAGACCCTGAACAGGAGCCCCAGCAGCCTCCCTAAGCTAACCCTTCCTCTCTATCCCTAGATACTGACGCTGTGCTGTCCAGCCTCATTCAGTGAGAGGTCTGGGGCTCCCTTAGCCCGCCGACTGGGCTGGAGCGGCTACTGGAGGAATCAACATAAAACAAGTCTGGCTCTTTCTTACGCCAGGATCCTGGACTTATATGAGCTTTCAGTCTAGAAGCCCTCATGAGACAGACAGGAACGGTTACACACATAACCTGGCTGGGCCTCCTGACCCACTGTGGCACCCAGGAAGCCCTCTGGGGCTGGGGCTGGCCTCGTTCACTCACCACCTCTCAGGGAAGCCACTCGATTGAGAAGCACATCTCCAGGTTGCACCTAGCTCACTCTGCTTCCCTTCTGGGCAAAATGCTGCATTTCAACAAGGGCCTCTCAGAGAAATGAACTGGCTCTCTGATTCCTGCTGTGGCTCCTGAAGCCCTCCCTCCAGGCTCACCTGTGAAGGTTTCACAGGCGGGGAATAAGGATTCACACCCACTAAAAGGGCAAGGATAAAAAATCAATTTAAAGGACTTCCTCCATTTCTTCTTCTGATCCCTAAGAACCTCAACAGTGGGTAATTTTCAGACTAATGCCAGGCCTCTCTGAATAGCGTAGGGGTCACGCACCCAGCTCTCCCTCCACGTGCCAGCTCCATAACCTCTACTGTCCCATGCTTCAGTCTATCACCTGTGAAATGCAGGTAGGTAACAGTACACACCACACAAGGTTGTTGAGATTAAATAGTACAGTCTGTGTAGAGCACTTAAAACAATGCCCGGTGTTGGCCCTTAGCCGTGACTCTAGGACTACAGAAGCCCCTGCTGAGAAGCTATGCCACTGCCAGAAAGAACAGGGAAGGTGGGCTCTCAGAAACCAAAGGAAGAAAACGGTTTTGCTGAAACTCTGTGGCTAAACCTTTCATACACACCTATCTCCAGCTGTTAGCATATTTGCCACAGAACAGTATTTGTCACTAATTTGGGGATAAAGAAAAAAATATTCTAAAAGGTCAGAGGTGTTGCAGGAAAAGTGGACATCCTTATATTTCAGAAATGCATACAGAAAGGCTGCTCCTCTGTACGAGGATAAAAACCCTATTGCACTCGAAGGGCCAGCAAGGCCCTCAACTGCCAGTCTTTTTTTTTAAGACTATTTATTTGAGAGAGTGAGCACAAGAAGAGCAGGGTGCAGAGGGAGAGGGACAAGCAGACTCCCCACTGAGTGAGAAGCTGAGGGCTGGATCCCACGACACTGAGATCAGGACCTAAGCCGATATAAACAGTCAGACATATAACTGACTGAGCCACCCAGGCGCCCCTCAACGGCTAGTCTTGATTTAGCCTAGCACTGCTCCACACATCACAAAAATAAGCTAAGAACTTCGATTTCGCTCTTTTGTTATTAGTGACTGGCATCCATGGGCTCATTCAAGCAAGTTTTTATTTTTAATTGAGGCTATTATAATGCTTCAGGTTTGCCTACACGTTTAGTATTATTTGATAAAAAGCATGACTTCCAAATAAAAATAATTAACTGAAGAGATCCAGAGAATTAAAATGTTAAAATTTTTAAGTCTTGCCATTAGACCATTACTTCTATATGCCCCGTGCATACATTCTGAAAACATATTTTCTCATGATTAGAATTTTTCTTGTTAACACTCATAATTGTGTTTTACCGTTGACTATTCTTTATGATTATCATAATGCCAGACAAATGAACAGCATATATGAAACTGAGAATGAGGAAGGCTGCCCAAAGGGCCTGTTGTCTACCCTGCAGACTCCAGGGGCTATTAATTATTTAGCTACTTTTCAAAGTTAATAAATAGGAATGTCTTTTTGCCCTTTATTCCCCAGATGAATTTAACCAAATGAGGGAGAAGGTGTGTGTGCACAGAGCGAGCAATCTGAGGACACAGGGGTACAGGCAATGAAAAGGAGATTTGAAAAAAAAAACATATATACATATATATTTAATGTCAATTAAATATGCACAACACTGCTTTATGTGGCATATTTTTATTATGACTAAATTCTCGTGAATATTTTGATGGTTTTTGAGTGTACTTCAAAAAACATGAGCACTTAAAAAATATAACATCAATACAAAAAAAGACAGCAAGATTAAAATGACACTTGAAAAAAATACTTATAGTTAGAAAATGCAAACACCAAAGTATCAAAGGGAAAAAGTAGCCCCCTTCTCACCACTGTCCTACCCCCCAAAGCTTTATGCTTTTCTATCCTACCAGGAAAATAATGAATGCGTGTACATTGATTTATTTATGAAAAGGAATCCTCTCATGCAGTTTTGTGACATGCATTTTTTTACTTAATAACATATGTGTGTGTGTGTGTGTATATATATATATATATATTTTTTTTTTTTTTTTAAGATTTTATTTATTTGAGAGAGCAAGCACATGCGGGTGGGAGGGGCAGAGGGAGAAGCAGGCTCCCAGCTGAGCAGGGAGTCCGATGCAGGGCTCCATCCCAGGACCCTGGGATCATGACCTGAGCAGAAGGCAGACACCTAACGACTGAGTCACTCCAGCGGCCCCTTAATAATGCATCTTGATGCCGTTTCCAGATCAGCACAGGCCCCTGCTGCATTCTTTATGCTCTGACACCCAGTGCTTGAGGGAAGATATTTGCACACGAAGCTCAGCGTCCTATGTGGTGTTTCAGTGTGGCCGGCCACCAAAGGGAGAGCAGCAAGCACAAGCCTCTCCAGGCTATCCCAGGTGCATGGTTGGAAAAGGACCATCTAGTTCCCTTGGCTCACTTCGGTTCCTTCAGAAAATCTCCGGAGATACCACCTTGAAAAAAGGGCTGCTTGCAGCCAAGGAAGGCAGACACTGCTCTCTGTTCATGTCTGAGAGGAAGGGTTCCTGTGGCAAAACAGGAGTCCTATCCTTGCACTTAGATCTGCCTACTGTCACCCCCTCCACTGCCAGGCATATCCCGAAGGCTGGTAAGAAGGAACGGAAGGTTTGGAGACGGGGAGCAGGTGTGGGCACCAGAGACATGCGTGGGACTCCAGGTCGGTAGACTGCCAGGTTATTCTGCAGGTACTGGAAGCTCCCCGCTCACAAAGACCAACAGGAAGCATGGCATTCAGGGCTGCCGGCCCCGGGGTGCACAGGAACACAGTCCTGTGGCCGAGTCAAGGTTAAATAAATGACCATGGAGCCCATGGCTCAGAAATATGAACAATACAGCCATCTTACATTTAGCTGCCTCAAATCCTTTTGGAAATGATGGAGGGGTTAAACTCTATTTTGACATCTTTCGATGGAGCATTTTTCCAAATTATCTATTCTATTTGTTCTCTCCTTGGACCCCCACACCAACTCAGCAAGAAGGCCGGTGTCACCTTCTGCACCTACAGGATGGAATGCGTGCAGGGAAAAGACTCACCCAAGGTCAGCGGGCCAAGTGTTTGGACTCTGAGCACTGTGCTCTTTCCTGCATTCTCCCTGTCCAGCCCCACCTGCACCCCCAGTCCCCTGGCCAGCTAGCCAAGCTCAGAACCTTCAACAAAGAGCCACGAGAGAAGCTAGAGAGTGAAAACATGCCCTCCCCAGGAATACCTGAGATCATGAAAACTACCTTTTCCTAAACAAAACTTTAATGAATTGAGTAATATTGATGTTGCTAGTTACCAGGCTGAGAAACCAAACTCACACCGCAACACAATAGTCTTTACTAGTTTTACAGAAACCTTTGTGAAAGGGGAATTCGGCTGACTCAGTCAGTGGAGCCTGCAACTCTTGGTCGTGGGGTTGTGAGTTCAAGCCCCATGGTGAGTGTACAGACCATTTAAAAATTTTAAGAACTTGGGGCACCTGGATGGCTCAGTGGGTTAAAGCCTCTGCTTTCAGCTCAGGTCATGATCCCAGGGTCCTGGGATCAAGCCCCACATTGGGCTCCCTGCTCAGCAGGGAGCCTGCTTCCTCCTCTCTCTCTCTCTCTCTGCCTGCCTCTGCCTACTTGTGATCTGTCTGTCAAATAAATAAATAAAATCTTTAAAAAAAATTTTTTTTTAAGAACTTAAAAAAAAAAGACATTTCTGGAGCACCTGGCTGGCTCTGTTGGTTAAGTGTCTGCCTTCAGCTCAGGTCATGATCTCGGAGTCCTAGGATCGAGTCTTGGGTCTGGGCTCCTCAGCAAAAAGTCTGCTTCTCCCTCTCCTCCCACCTTCCACCAACCCCGGCCCCCTGCCCCACCATCATGTGCTCTCTCTCAAATAATTTTTTTAAAAAGAGACTTTTGTGAAAATGTGGTTTCACATTTTATTATAAACACACATACCACCTCAGCTTTTTTTTAATCTAGTAGTTCTTTAATTTTTCCAGTTAGACACTGCCTTGGACAGTACTAGTAATCTGCATTTCAGTATCTAACACTTATGTCTTGTCTTTTTGTCAGTCAGGGCTGTCCTACATGAGTATTTTTTAAACTTTTTTGAGAATGTCCTACAGAAGAAATATATTTCTGTGAAGCATGTATGTCATTGAAACAAAACTTTCACAAAATCATAATTACCTTTCCTATGTTTTACTTAGATATTTCCTATGCTTTTATACCTTTGGGGACAGAAATCAAGAGAGGCTCCTCTCTGCTGACTTGAAGAAAGGGTCTTAGTAAATTAGCAAAGATTACAACAGCCTTCAGGACTGAAGGCCTTCGTAAGCGATACTCACACTGAGGACCAAGAGGCTGGAAGTCAGGCAAGGCTCCCCTGGTGAGGCCCTAAAACAAACCGGATCTTGAAAGTTGAGCTGGAATCAGAAGGGTAGAGACTCAGAAGTTGAAATGAACCCAGCACATATGGGGGACACTCACAAGGGGTTCATAAAGGGAGTGGTAAGGGATAAAGTCAAAAAGAAAGCCTGAGCAATGTGTCCTTACTCTGTTCGGATCTCAGTTCCATCCTTCAGTCCTGGATGTTTCTGTTTTCAGAAATTCTCTTCGCTTTATTCTCTGGATCCACTTGTCCATTTTACCACTTTTCCTCCCACTCCTTATGGTTTCCCATCAAGTCACAGGGATTCAGGAGAAGTGGATGACTGACAGCTCATGTGTTGTGTAGATTATAAATCTGGTTTTGCTCAAGTACTGAGTATATTTTAATAACAACCAAAATATTTCACAGTTTGGATAGGAATGGATAACTTATCAGGCAGACTGAAACAACATGGTACTTGTCCTTTAAGAAGGAGCAGTTAAAACCTTGATGTGTATTATGGATTGACCTACAGAAAAATAATCAGGCAGAAATCAAGAGTAAGGGGAAGATTAATGGGTATTTCACTTTACACAAAGAAAACGTGGATGTTTCAATAAGTGAAGCTCAAATTTTCTCCTGAATCCCAGAATCCACACCATATTTATAAATCTTCAATCTAGTTATTACTTGATTTCAATGGGCTTGTTAGACTAGCCTGGGAAATGTGGTTTTTACTATTTTCTACAGAGAAAATATTTTCCAATGTATCAAACTCAATAAGCTTTTAAAATACAATCCATTTTTACATTGAAGCTATCCGTGCAGCAGTTTCTTTACAACTGTATATGTTTTTTTTTTGTAAAATTGAGTTAATGTATAAAATACTGTTTTATGCCAGGATAAAGATGTTAGTATTTCCTAAAATTTTAAAGGAAAAAAAAAAAAAAAAGGAAGGAAAGAAAGCAAGCCTGAGGTCAGTCTGCAGAGAGCAAGACAGACTGGATTTCATCCTGGAGGTAATAACGCTGTGACTGACGGTCTCTGATTGTGCAAAGTGCTATTCCATAATTGTGCATCTGCACGCGGACTTGAAGCTGGCTCTAAAAACACCCGGAGCTCAGTCACCAGGTTCTCCGGCTCTATTTCAGCAAGGAGAGAAACGTGTGCACACAGATGTCATAAACTCAGAATTCTAACAAGAGGAGTCTGGATCACACAAAAAAATAGAAAAGCTGGGACATACATATTAAGTTTAGACAGCAACTGAGCCATTTCTGTTTCTTTTCATCCTTTTATTTCTGTTAATGAAGTGTTGGCCTTATCTGCAGCAACCACTAAGTAATTATTTCCTTTACGAAAACTATACACTTTATTGAGAAGCGTGTCCTCAATACTGTTAGGAGCCTATCCAATAAATAACTTTCCAAAAATTAAATTTTGTATCAGCAGTAACACTTTTAATAATAAGGTTGTAAAGCACACAGACACACAGGGACCTCTGAAGGTGTCCAGCATCCAGTAATTCAGGCTCTGCTGGACACAATGACAGTGTCCTCTGATCCTCACCTAGCACTCGTTGGTCTCAGGAGAATAAAAACATCCAGCGTGAGTCATCTTGCAATTACACCGCCACCTGGAAGCATATTTAAGAGATGAGAACTACAAAGGTGTACGCTCCTGCATCAGACTTCCTCTCCTCTCTTCCAGTCTGAGGATCAATAGAGCTCAGGATTCTTTCACTAATTTCTCATAAGCATCATTTTTTTAAATCATTTTTCTAAATTTAAAAGGGACTGTCTCCTAAGGCCTTCCTAAAGTTACCCTGATTATTAACACTGCAAATTTCAGAACTAGAAGGTGCATCAGTTCAATTTACATTTTTTTTCCACACGGAAACTACTTCAAAGAAGATTTATTTTAATTTCAGAGAAAATGTTTGTACACAGGTGTGCATGCCACCAGCCACAGACGCATACCCCATCGTCTGGGGTAATGCAGACCCTTCACCCATGGGCAGGGTTCAGCCCAGTCTTTGTGGCTGCATTTCTGCATGCACACAAACGGGCACGTCACAGTGACAGGGAACCATCACGTTTCACCTACAACTGTCAAGCCGGGATCTCAAGCCGAGTCCAAACCCTACTAGGGATGCACGTTCGGTGGAGGTGGCTGGAAAGGAAAGGGGCTGCCCCTGGGCAGGTGCCCAAGACGTGGTGTCCGCGCCCATCCCGTTCTCGAGCAGTAGCCCACCTCCCCTGGCCGCGCGGCGCGGGCTCCCGTCTGCCCACCGCCCCAGACCTCGGGGGGGCGGGGGGGGCGGTGGGCGAGCGGCCCGGCCGCGACGGCAGGGCGCCGCTCAGAAATTCGGGTTTCTCCAAACTAAGACGAGGAGGCTGGTCACCCCGATTTTGGTCCAGGTGGCCGCTGGGTGAGCCGCCGGGGCTGCCCGCCCTGTGCCTCCATGGCCGGGTCTCGACGCCCCACCGCCCCCAACACTCCGGACCCGGCTCCGACCCCCTCGACCGCAACCGCGACCCCGACCTGGCGCGCTCGGACCCCGACCTCCGCAGACTCCGGCCTCCCTGAACCTCAGCCCCGACGACCCCGACTTCGGCCCGCGCCGACCCCCAGACTCCCGCCCCAACCCCGGCCACGAACCCCTCGACCCGACCTGGCCCGCGTCGGCCCCGAATCCCCACTCCCGGGCCCCGACGCCCTCGACCCCGGACCCCCCGGACTCCCGCCGCGACCCCGGCCCGGGCCAACCCGAGCCGGGCCTGAGGCGGCCGCACTTACTCCTGCCAAGGAGGCCGTCGGGGAGACCGGGGTCCGGGGTCTGGGTGTCAGGGTCAGGGCCGGGGCCGAAGTCGGGGTCGCAGGTCGGGGTTGGGGCCGCCCGGTGTTCGCCGCCCGCCGGGAGGCCCCGCCGCCGCGCGCACGTGCCGCCTGACAGGCCCCCCATAGGTTCCATACCTGCCACCGGAAGTGAGTGAGGAGGGCAGTATAGGCATTTCCTGTGACGCGAGCGCCTGGACTCCATTAGGCAGCAGCTGGGGGAAGAATCAACACACCAGGGAGCGGAGCGCAGCCACCGAGCGCCGAGGCGGCCGCTGCCTCCGCCGCCGCCCGCCGCCGCCGCCGCCAGCGCCGGGGCTCAGCCCCGCGGCGGGCCCC